TAGCCGCCATCAGCCGTTGTTGCCCAGATTTCGGGAGCAGTCGATGAGGTTCTGCTCGCTCAGCACCACCAGCTTCCCTGTCCGGTTGAAGACGAGCCCCTCCAAGGCCCCTGTGGCACTGAACGCCCAGCACGACCCGCAGTGCCCCTGGGTGAGATGGGGACAGCGGGGGGGGGTTGGTCATGGCATCACCCTAAAACCCACCGGAGAGGGATGCTGTGACCCCTCAGTGCTGCTCTCCAGCTCCTCAGCTATAAAACTGCAGAGGTGAAACCTTTGGGAGCTGCTTCTCGGGGTGGCCCAGAGGTTTTTTGGTGCTCGGGATGATGCTGCTCCTTGTTTCTGCTGCCCAGACTCCTGGCAGCCATGGCGCAGCCTCAGCCAGACCCCTGCCCTGTGCCCACCTGGTTCTTCACGGGCGTGACGTAGCCCTTCGCTCGCCAGTCCACCTCCGATGGGGTCTTCAGGGCTGCTGAAGCCTGGAAGAGTGGCACCGGCTCCTCCCGCTGCTCCGGGGTGAAGCCGTTCAGGAGCGAGTTAAACTCCTTGTCTGTCTGCAGGTCACCAAGGGAAAACTCGCGTGATGCCACCAGCGCCCGGCCGGCACCACCGCGAGTTCCCACCGGCTGATCAATCCCTGGGAAGCAGCCCAGCCCCAGGGGCACCTGCAGGGGTCCCAGCAGAACAGGCTGGGGGTACCCGATCCCTGGGTCAAGCCCTGGGGTGCGTCAAGGGGTCCCCAATCCCCAGATCAAGCCCTGGGGTGCACTGAGGGGTCCCCAATCCCCAGATCAAACCCTAGGTTCATTGAGGGGTCCCCAATCCCCGGATCAAGCCCTGGGGTGCATCGAGGGGTCCCTAATCCCCAGATCAAGCCCTGGGTTCATCGAGGGGTCCCCAATCCCCGGATCAAGCCCTAGGTTCATTGAGGGGTCCCTAATCCCCGGATCAAGCCCTGGGGTGCATCAAGGGGTCCCTAATCCCCAGATCAAGCCCTAGGTTCATTGAGGGGTCCCCAATCCCCAGATCAAGCCCTGGGGTGCATCGAGGGGTCCCTAATCCCCAGATCAATCTCTAGGTTCATCGAGGGGTCCCCAATCCCCAGTTCAAGCCCTGGGTTGCATTGAGGGGTCCCTGGGGAAGGTGCTGGGGGTGTACCAGGTCCCCGTAGTGGTTCATGGCCAGGCGGAAGGCGTGCTGCCCCTGCGACTCTTCCCAGTTGTGCTGCTGGATGCGCCGCAGGTTTTCCTCCCAGACCTCCCTGCGGGCGGCCTCGGCCTCCTGCCACGGGGCAGAGTGGCAGCAGGATCAGAAATGTCCCCTGGGAGCACGGGGACGTGGGATGGGGTGGGGGCACACATGGGTAGCTCTGGGTGAGACCCCCCCCGGAGCTGCCCCCGGTGCAAGCCAGGAGGCCTGGGGGGGAGCAGGACCTACCCCTAGGTACTCCTTGGCATGGAGGCTCTTCCACCCTTCCCAGGCCTCCTCCAGGGCAGGATCCAGCGCCGTGGTGCAGCCCAGCAGGGCCAGCAGCAGCCCCAGTGGCACGGCCATGGCGCTCAGCTGGGGGGAACGGCGAAAGTGGGCTCGGGGGGGGGCCCTGGGCCAATCCACGTGGCACCC